CCCACCCACGGGCTCACCATCTTGTATGACGCTACATACTCAGGCTTACCGACTAAGTGGAAACAACACATACATATTATAAGCTATTGCACATACCAGCTCAAAAGCATTTCAAATATTCAAAGCATGTAACACAGCATGCATACAATCATACCCCCATGGGACATGGTGGAACCACAACATGGCTAAACTGAGAACACGAAAGCTTACCTGGCAAGCTAACAATCCAAGCCAAGAGTCCAATCAGAGCTCACAGTCCAAATACAGCAGAATCACAATCTGATTTGGACCATCAATCATATCAATAAACATAGCTCATATGCATAAACATAAAGACAACACTTCTCTTTTATGTTTTACGTCTTAAGGCTTCTCACCAAGCCATAAGCCCTTAATCACTTGATTCCGACTTAGTTTAATTATTACAGAAGTTCAACTTCCTCAAACTAGGGTCCACAAACCCCACACATCAGTTCTGGATGAACAGTAAGCCACTGTTCCTCAAAAACCCAGAATATCCGGATATCTGTCGGGGACATATCCAGATATGCATATCCGGATATCATATCCAGATATCCATATTCGGATATCAAAGACCCCATATCCGGATATCAATATCCGGATATTTCGCGACAGAATGCAGTTTCTGCATTTCGCAAAGATATCCTTCTAAGGTTCCATTTTTAACACTTTATAACGTCAAAGCATGCATTTTTACTCTGTTTTAAGTTCACATACCTGTTGGTTACTTGTTTAACTCATTAAACATGCCAAGACATCAACTTTAACCCATTAAACTCATGATCAAAGGTTGGTAACACTTACCCAAGCTTCAAACTCAGAAAAGAAGGCTCTTGGAGCTCACCAAGCAGCTCCAAATACTCAGGCTAAGATGGTGCACGAAAATGGCACACAAGATGAGTTCTTTCTTCACAAAGGTGACACTTTGAAGTTCAAAATACCATCACCAAGGTTCCCACAATCCAACTCCCAAATTCATCCCTCAAAATTGACTCACACAGTGGCAAGGACTCAGAATATACACCCTCACCCCCTCACAATGATAGCTCTCAAGTGTATACAAGCTCAAAGGTGAAGAACTCAAGCAAAGGTGACAAGTTGACCAAGAAAATGGTGAAGGGAGACAGTAGAACCAAGCACCAGCTGACCATCCCCTCAAGAGTCACGTAGGATAGTGTATGGCCTAGGGTTTAGTGCCAAACTAATGTATATATAGTCACTTAACAATTAAACACACAGTATTAACTTTAATTGCTACGCTTAGTATTTTAATCCCAAACTTAGGATTCAGAACCTACTCATTTTTCTAAGATTTTTTATATTTTTATTTTATTTTTCGCAGTACCTTTTCGGTACGCGCTTTTCCATAGCCAATATCAGTTCTGGCACCATTTCTCATTATTTTAACTTGAAACTCATTTTACAAGTCCTATATATTATTCTAGGAATATTCATGCACTTATTATAATTTTCCGGGATACTTTATCGGTACGCATTTATACCGACTAGCAGAATCGGTATCTGCACTTTTCGTTAGAAAAACGACTTTCATCATTATTACTCACTTACTATAATTATTAGAGCCTCATAATAATTATTAGGGTCAATTATGAAATTATTTTCTAATTTCACATAATTAATTAATTAACTTCCTTGATTAACGGTGCGGGTTCTTACAAATAATCTCTTCCTTTGAATTAATTCACAATTACCATAACGTTTCTACTTTGCTATTGAAATTTGAAATCAAATCAACTTATCTCCTTCTTCTTATCTTGTTTTTCACCTTGAAGTGGAGAAAAAATCTTTGTTCTCTCTATGTTACCCTCGACAACATGCCTACCTAGTTCCATAACATAGGACATCTGAGTTTGTTTCTTCTTGACACCTCATTTCAATTATTTTTATGTAAATGCTCATAACAATGGCTGAGTTGGATGAATTGAGAAAAAAACTTGCATCTTTTTTAGATACTGAAGTGCCATTAAAGAGAGAGAAAAGAGAGGAGAGAGAAAGAGTGAGAGTCAGTAGGAGAGAGAAATGGGTAAAAGAATTTATTTTATATCGTAAATTTTCACCGTTGAATGAGATTGTAATCTAACAGTATCGAGAGAAGTAAGCAGAATAACATATCCCTTAATTTAGTAATAACAGTGAACATAAAGAATTTGGCTCTTCTATTATCAGAGAAAAAATGTGAATTACAATTTTTAATTAAATAATTCACAATTAAAATTATGATAAAATATATGTGCATATTTAACGAATAAAAGAATTATTAAACCGCCTTCTAAAAATATTATTAAATCCATTTTCATAATTATTAATTAATTTATTTATTTTTTAAGATAGATGCATTATTTTCGCAAGTTCGACCAAGGTATTAAAGGCCAAAGTTCTGTGCAAGAATGTTTCTCAAATTGAAACAATCACTATTGTATTCATTAGTCTAACGTAGCCATCTCCAAATTATTATTTTTTTTCTTTTTTTATAAATCATAGATATCCACGAGAGGGGACGAATTCAAAATTAAATCTTTAAACTCCTGAATTGAAATGAATTATGGATGGCCTCATTTATGTGAATCCATGCTGACGGTGCTTAGTCCCCAAAATTCAAAGGCTTCCTTGGTAGTTGTAAGTTGTAACTATCAATTTCCTCTTTTTATGAACAGCTTTTGCATTAAATTCATTGCTTGTTTGCTACAAGTCGTATGTTATAACAGAAAAGTCCTCGTACAGCTTTATGATTTGGAACAAAACTTTGGTGTATCAAAAATGTATTCAATTGAGTACATTTTTTTTTTCAAAAAGAGAAAAATTTAATGTGAAGGAAATTTTTTTTATCAAAAATAATGAAAAGTTTTTCAAATATATAAAAAAAAATTACCCAATTATATGATGAGGAGTAGGGGTGTTCGCGGTCTGGATTGGATCGGTTTTAGAAGCAAAAATCATCTGATCCAATACCTTCGGTTAGATCATTTAATCATTTATTCCGTTTAGATTTTTTTTCAAATCCGATCCGATTCAATTTTTTTCGGTTTGGATTGGATCGGTTTTTGATTTTTTGAAAATCCTAAAATTTGTTTCGTGATTATTGTGCAAATAACATCTTTTGTATATATTGGCTTTGTAAATTATTATTTTTTGAAATACAAAAGCATCAGTAAACGATAATATAATTTTTTTTTTGGCAATGATGAAATGTGATTAAGTTTTTTCTTGGGTGTAGTTGATGGATTAACATGTCTTGAGTTTAGAAATTTTTGGGCTATGATTGAGGAAAAACCTAAGTAGGTAGAGAAAAATTAATATATTAGATCGGTTTGGATTGGATCGATTTTCATCAACCCATCCGAAAACCAATACAATCTAATTAATATTTGCGATTTTTTTTCGGTTTTTGATTTTTTGGTTTTCGGTTTATTCGGTTATTGGTTTTTCAGTTCGGTCACCGCGGTTTGAATCGGTTTGGATCAGTTGATGAACACCCCTAATAAGAGGGATATTCTCACTACCAAAATTTTTCACTACCAACTTACTACCTATCTAATCACCATTGGATTAACATTTTCTCTCTCTTCAAATTGTTTTTAGTATTCTCTCTCTTTGATCCAATGATAATTAAATAAGTAATAAATTAATAATAAAAAAATTTAGTAGTGAGAATATCCTCCTCTCTTGTATGATACACCAAAGATATTTCCCATAACTTGGCACGCACTTACACTGGCGTAGCCAAAGTAACTGACATGTATTATGGTCACTAATTAGTGGCATATCCAAAGTAACTGACATTTCCAGTGTACAGTTATTTAATAGGACATAAAAACAGCTCCCCTCTTGTTTAATAAAAAAAAAAAAAAAATTGTGTCTCTTCGGCTATTGCAAAACACTTTTTTTGTGCGGTAGTCACATATATTTTACAATATGATTCCGTATTTGAAAAGTATATGTCAGTTGGAGATAATTTTTTTATGGCAACAAAGAGATTAATATGTTTTCGCTTGGATGAATTTTTATTTCTAAAAAAGTTACTAATTTTTTTTAAAATAAAAGTCTTTTTAAGAATTTTTAGATGTTTGGATAACAATTTTTTTTAAAAAGAAAAATTTAAAATAAAAGTTAAAATACTGTTTTTTTTATAGCGAGGAGTTGGTTGCTTTTGAAAAAAAGCAGAAATTAAAAGATAATGTAATATTTTTTTTTGGAAAAAAGGTAATATAAATTTTTAAAATACAATTTTAACCTTATCCTATCATACCTATTTTATCTCTTCTTATCCCACGATCATTTTATCTCTCCTTTATTGTAATTTTATATATAAAAAATGTTTTTTATTTTATTTTAATATCCAAACAACTTTTTTATGAAAAACTGATTTTCAGATCATACATTCAAATATAAAATAACTTTACTTTTTTAAAAAAGTTATTTAAAAAAAAACAAATGTATAAAAAGTCATTTTTTTAAAAGCTCATCCAAACGGGTCCATAACCCATAAAAAAAACTCCCCCCAAAATATAAACGTAAAGGAAGGATAATTTATAACGGTATAAAAAATATCAATTTTTATACTTAACCTTAGTAGAATATATAATTCATATAATAATAATAATTCTTACCCAAATCTTAATCGTTAATAATTCATATGACAAGATTATAAGTTTCACACCCATCTGAATCTCAATCTATTTTCCATCAACATTATGTGTGAGTATTAAATTTGGGTAATGGGAGAGAGAAAGGGTGAAGTCCCAAAAAAAAGATCTGATTTTGGCTTTATGCATTCAGAGAATTAGATGCTAACCGAAAAATAAGATGAAAACTTTAGGCACACGTATTTATTGAATTCAGACAATGAAGAGAATTCTAAAATTGTGATAATCATTCACATGCTATCTGTATAAGATTAAACATTTGTACATGGTAGCATACACCCTATTAATTAGTTCCTGGAAATTTCATACAATTCTTTATGTCTCTGTGGAGGATGATGCAGGTGAATCTCTGTGATCATTTGAGTCTCCTCTCCATGAATTCTGAATTTGTGCTGCAAATTGCAAATTCCATAGAACATCTTCAACAGAAGGCCTATCAATTGGTTCACTAGAGAGACACCTTACACATATCTCCATCATTGTCATTAATGAATCATCTGAACATTCCTTATGAACTGATGGGTCAACAATACTCCTTCTAGCTATATCATCAGTTTTGATGCTTACCTGTAACTGCATAAGAACCACACAACAACTTTGTTAGAAATAGGTGCTACTTTTCTGACCCTTGTTCTTAACACATCAAAGTTGGGTTCTATAACAAAGTTGCTTAACTTCAAATTGTGTAACTTATTCACAACCTAGTCTCTAAAAGGTTTGAGTCTGGAACTTGAAGGTTGTTGAGATATATATAAAAGAAACTATTAATGTAGCCTCACCCAATAGCTTAAGCTTTTGGGTTGAATTGGTTCTTTAGATGGTATCAGAGCCTCGCCGCCCCCCACTTTCTATTGTGGCGTTTCTTAGCACAGGTAGGCTGGGCCTGTTGCATTGTCCACTCTTCAAGCCCAATGGGCTCTCGTGTGAGGGGGCGTGTTGAGATATATAGTCCCACATTGGTTGTATGTGCAACTAATGTGGAGTTTATAAGGTCTTGGGTACTCCCACAGCTAGCTTTTGGGGTGGTGTATCCCAAGGTTCTTTACATGGTATCAGAGCCTCGTGTCCCGGGTTCGATCCTCGCCGCCCCCCACTTTCTTTCAAGTGGAATTTCTTTGTTCGCACAAGTAAGTGGGCGGCCGTGCATTGTCCACCCTTCGCCCAGTGGGCTCTCGTGTGAGAGGGCGTATTGAGATATATATAAAAGAAACCATTAATGTAACCTCACCCGATAGCTTAAGCTTTTGGGTTGAATTGGTTCTTTACAAAGGTAATACTCACAAGATCTTTTAGTGTTCCAACTTCATTGTGGAACATTATTGGTCGTCCCAGAATAATTTCTAGCAAAATCACTCCAATATCATAGACATCATTCTTGTCTGCATCCTTTATCCTGCAGAAATAATTAAAGCATGCTAAAATGAATGACATGAGGCAATGCAGACACATAAGCTATGATATAGAAAGAAACAAAAACATCCATTATAATGCACTCTCTGTCAAAACATTTAATTCTGTGTCATGTTCAATTTGCTATATAACCCAAGAAAAGTTCCACCTTAGCAACACTTTTGAGTGTTTAGATGACAATGCATACTTTCTTAGTAGCTAAGTTTAGGTTCTATCACAATCTCAGGAGTTAATATTTTTTTTTCACCTTTGTTGGAAATTTCCTTTCAATCCAGGTGAAGTTCCATTGCTGACCTGAAAGTTGTGAAGAAAACAATTATGCTGAGAAAAATCAGAAACAAGTGAAGATATAGTAATAGTATATAAGCACATTTTTATCCATTTACCATTCTTTTGTTTTCAGCTGAGAGTGGAAGATTATAACTGCTTATCTTAACATTATGATTATTTTCCAAAAAAATATCTGTTATCTTCAGATTATTTGAATATAGTCCAGGCACTATCCCTGTGTGCAAAAATTGAATGCCTTTCACCACTCCAATTGCAGCTGCTATTCTCTGTGACCAAGAAAGCTTGTCCCCAGAAGATCCTACTGAAAGTATATGTTAGAGGTAATATTCATTTCCTTGTAGGTGAAACTGAAAATAAGGAAAGTTTAGCAAGAACTAGTTCAATGTACTAAATCTTTGAAATTTATGGTACAAGAACATTACATAGAAGACTTTGATGGAAAATTTTCCTTACCAGATACGCAGCTTCTTAAACTTCTGTTTGGAACGTACTCAAATATGAGAAATATAGTGTTTACACAATCATCCTGGTTGCACTCAAAAGAATGCCCAAGAGCACTAACCAAGTGTGAATGCCTAAGTTTCGAAATCAACTCAACATGGTGCATGTAGGTCTGAGGGCTATGTCTCTTTCTTATTTTCAAACTTCTAACAGCAATTTGCATTCCATCAGAGAGCACCCCTTTATATATCTGTCATTATAATTAAAGTAAATTAAATTTTGCTAGTAACAAAGATAATAGAGAACAGCTATTAGAAACAGTTAGTCAAATAATTATATGCATAACCAGCAGGGTGAACCACACAACCTAATCAATACAAAACTATTTGGTAGAAAATATGATTCTACATTCTTCATAACTTCAAATGCATACCTGACCATGTGGACCTTCACTTATGAAACATGATGAATCAAAATTATTTGTAGCTTCCTTGAGTTCATCCAAAGCAAAGGTCCTATAAGCAGGAAGGCTAGCTCCCATCTTCATTGTTTGTGATATATACCCTGTTAACAAAGAATGTAAAATGACTATATGTGATGTGTGATAACTAATAGAAAAAAAGTTTTGAATGACATGCTCTAATTTCCTGGTTTCTATGACATATTATGCACTACAGAGGTACAGCACAATAGATGTGCACTTATTTTAATTGATCCAATCTATTGCAGCAATAAAACCAGAATTTTCTTCAACTCTTAATTCAAAATTTTCAGTATACATTGATACATCTAAATCCAGACAGATAATATGCTTCTAGAAACTTTTATTTCCCTAAAGCCAAAAAGTTAAAACCAAATAATCCCATTTTGCAGAGTTAAACTTATGTACCAACAAGGCAAAGGATTTGTGAATTTACTTGCATCTGTGAGCAGTTTTGCAGTGTTTACTGACAATACATGATCTATTGTGGACCTTGAAGGTGTCCTCACAATACGTTTGTGATTCACGCGGTTCATGACATGCTCCTTTATGGATCTTGGTAGTGTTTTCAAAGCACGTTTGTCAGGAACCCTTTTTGTGATATACTCCATTATGGACCATGAAGGAATTTTTACTTCATCTTCATTATGTATCTGGCTGATAACATGCTCCAATGTGGACTTTGAAGGTGTTTTCATAACTTGTTTTTTATGAACCTTGCTAACGACCAAAATAACCACTCCAACAATCATTACTCCACCAACAACACTTCCCATACTTGATACAAGTACTACTTTGCCCGTTGTTCTCTTATGCTGCTTCTGTTGATGGGGTATGATTTCCACTGCAAGAGCCTCATTGCTGCAGAATTCAGAAGGGTGCTGATCTTGGTTCTCATTTGATAAACAGTTTCTAGCATACAAAACAACCCTGGTCTTTGGTTCTAAACAAGAGGGAAGTTCCCCCTTCAAAAGATTTGAAGATAAGTTTACAAAGTGTAGATCATCATTGCATGTCAAATTATTGAAGAGCATCCCAGTGAATTTATTTGAAGAAATATCAAGGTAATTGATGGAAGGTAGTGACAATAAGGATGGTGGAAATGGCCCCACAAAACCATTCAATGAAAGGTCCAGCTTTTGGAGCTGATAGAAAGAACTTAAATCAGAAGGGACACCAAGCATAAAGCTATTATTACTAAGCACAAGGGAAACTAACTTGGTGGGAAGAGAAGGAAAATGAGGTCCAAATGTGTTGTTTTCCAAGTGCAGAACTTGAAGGTTTGCCAAATTTCCAAGATGAGGTAGCTCCCCAGATAACTGATTATTTGATAGATCTAACACTCTCAGGGTATGAAGAGCATTCACTGAAGTTGGAAGGCTCCCACTAAGGCAATTGCTCTTCATACTAAGCACAGCCAAACCTTGAAGGGAACCTACCCAGTTGGGAATTTGACCTTTGAAGTTGTTATGATCAAGCACCACTGACTGCAGGTTCCTCAGAAGTGAAAGTTGAGCTGGGATGGCTCCATAAAAGTGATTTGAGCTAATATTAAGTATTTCCAATGAAGACAATTGATCAATGCTTTCAGGTAGAAGACCCCAGAGATCAAGAGAAACCAAAGAGAGGACTTTCAAGCTTGATAGAGTGCCAAGTGTGGCAAAAAGAGTGTCTGAGGAGAAGTTTTGAGGCAATGGTGTAAACTCATTATTGTTGCCAACAACATGCAACTGTGTCAAGTTATCCTCATAGCAAACTAATGTCAAATATGGGGAAGGCTCAATGTTGCAATAATCTGTGGCACTGTTTAAGCTTCCCAGTGCTGATGGATAGCCAAGAAGTTGCTGAACTTTGAGAAGTGTCTGAGACTCAGAAAATTGTAACTGCTCTGAAAGATTGATGGCAAGACACAAGATTAAAAGGAGTAATAGGTGTGAATGGGAAACTGGTTTTGCCATCCTTCTCTTCCAATGAAGAGAGAAAGAGAAAGAGAGACTTAAATAAATGTGTCTAGGACCAAACTGTAGCCTCTGCCATTCATTGAATACAAAATTGAATTAACTACGTTTCAATTCTAGTTCATTCTGATTTTCCATAGCATGCATTTAACATGTTAAGTACTAGGCACTGCAAAACCCAAAACATTGTACAGTGGACCACATTATTGTTTCAGCCATTACCTCTTTTTGGAAATCTACTCTTTGTGCTTTTTTCTGTTAATTTGGCAGAACTTGTGACAACACGCTACTACCCAATGTTAATTTTAAGAGTATATACCTTTTTTAGACCCTAACCAAAAACACGGTCTCCACTTTAGTCCCTTCAAAAAATAAATTAGTCAGTTAGTCCCTAACAAATTCAAAGTGGATCCATTTAGTTGAAATCGTGGTCTCTCACAAATTCAAAAAAGACCCATATTAGTCCCTCAAAAGGACTAAAATGGGTCTACCTTGAATTTGTTAGGGACTAACTGACTAATTTATTTTTGTAAGGGACTAAAGTGGAGACCGTGTTTTTGGTTAGGGACTAACTGACTAATTTATTTTTGTAAAAGACTAAAGTGGGGAACCGTATTTTTTGTTAGGGATCAAAAATGTTATTTTTATAGAATTCGAAAAAGTACTTTTTTGTTGTGCATCTCACTTGTGGTTTGGCATCCATTGCTCTCTTGTATCCTATGAGCTACATAATATATAGATTCGTCTTTCAATTTAAATTTATTTAATTTTTTTTTGTTAGTAAATTAATGTGAAAATAAAATTTTTACGCGGTAATAATAGTAGTTATACATATATATATGTTTATATTTATACATATTTGTATTTAAAATTTGCCAACAAGGTTAGGTAGACGTGTTAGAATTTGACAAAACATAACACATGAATTTTATCTTATATTTAGTGCATTTGAAAAATGGACCACAACATGACAGTGTTAAAAGGTAATACGTTTTGGTTTTATTAAAAAGGTTGAAACTAAAGAAAACATACTGTTCCATCCGTTTTGTCCACACGTCTAATGCTAAGAGAAGACCATTGTGGGGGAAAAAAATAATTATTTGATATATATATATATATATATATATATATATATATATATATATATAAGGTAGGATCTTTGACACCAGTGTCAAATTTGAAATTTGACACCTCAAATAAGAGCCATTAGATCAAAAAAGATCAATGGTGTCACATGCTTACAAATCAGAGTCGTTGATCTTTTTTGATCTAATGGCACTCAGGAGTGAGGTGTCAAATTTCAAATTTGACACTGGTGTCAAAGGATCCTACCTCTATATATATATATATATATATATATATATATATTTATCACATATCTTCTATGAAATAATAATATGATAGTATAGTAATAATATAATGAATTAAAATTACCTAAACATTTCTGTTACAGGGTGGTCTCTGACTTAAAACCCATGTCACATTTATTAGCATAACACTATAATAATTCAGTCATTACTTAGCATTAAATACCTCGTATTCAATTCCCAAAATTATCATCTCCTCACCAATAAAGGCATGGCTTAACCCATTAGGGTTCTATCACACATATGACCACCTATATAAGACAACCTCACTCATACATGCAAAGGATTGAACTTTCATAACCAAAAACATAATAAACAATACGAACACACTTTGCTGTACCTTCCTTTACGAAGAATATTTCCTTAATCATCATATTTATCTTTTACAAATGGATTGGTCTCTCCAAACCAAGATGCTTACACTGATAAGTAAAGTAATAGTCAACGTAATGACTCATTAGTGATTGCACATCTGAACTGACCACCACACTCTAGAACAATTTGCATGTGTATAAAGACTAAAGCATATATGATAGATTGCTATTTTCTTTTTAAGTATTAAGAGTATCTTAAGGCCACACTAACACATCTGATGCTATACATCTCGCTATTTTGTTGATCTCTATATGAAACCTATAAATCAAATAATAGTAACTGTTCTAGTAAAAGACAAACTTTTTTATGATGAAAAATTGAAAAAATATGTTTTAATTGAATTTTTTTAAAAATGTGTCATTTGATCTAAGATAATAAAGTTTTTAGTAAAATAAAAAAAATTGCTTTGAATATATTTCTTCTCTAAAAAAGCATCACCAACCTCTATCAATAAGAGCCCGTTTGGATGAGTTTTTTTTTTTCAAAAGTTGTTTTTTTTAAGAAAAAAAAGCACTTTTCGAAAAAAGTCTGTTTGGATGCCTGCTTCTAAAAAAAGCAGAAGTTATAAAAAAAGTCAAAAATCTACTTTTTTCGAAAGTTAAAAATTTTAGCTTTTAAAAAAAGCAGAAGTCAAAAGCCAAATATTTTTTTCAAAAATCAAATATTTAAAAAAAAATCTAAATAGCTGTAACTTTTATAGAAAGTACTTTTAAAATAAGAAAGTGATAAAAAAAAACTTTCTTGATAAGAGAATACAAACCAGCCCTAAGTCTCTTTTAAGGTAAAATATAAAGCAAATGCTAATAGTTTGAATAGAAAAAAAAAATGGTCTTGTTCAATTCCCAAGTGAAACACTTGAGATTAGCGGTGCTTTACAAACCAAGGAGATTAGTCTCGAAAATATTAATCTCATCATTTTAAATGATGGGAACATTAAAAAAAACAACAGCTTAAGTGAAAAATGTTACTGGTAAATATATTGAGTTCTGCATTCCCGAGGCAAATCAGATTAAGCCATTAAGGCATATTAAATAAGAGAAATATTTTTCTCATATTACATAAAAAAATTTATCTCATATTACACACTTATCGAAATTCGAGTCAATATTTCTTTTTTTTTTAATTGTCGGATCCATCTAATTATATCTCTACATGAAACAATGTTAACATGAAAAAAAACATAACACATTAAATACAGATCACTGAAAGTGCACACATAAATACAGAAGTAGTTTGTCATTGACATAGAAAGTTATGCACATTATGCCAAAAATGCCAGTTCAATTGGGCCATAGCTCATTTATTTTGGTTTTATGCTTTTACTTAGGAACCCCTCCATTATAATTTTAAAGTTCTTGGTATCCATGCATATCTTGGTTAAGTGAAAAGTTTCAGAATATCTTGTTAAGCTCGTGACACATTTGTCAATTGTATGACGCATCCTTTTGTGTCTGATGCATGAAAGGGACAAATGCCCGTGAGACCAAAGTTCACGGGTTTGCTTCTATTCTGTTCTCGTGAAAAAGGACACTACCATGTTTAATAGCTATTCTGAACATTTTGTTGTTTAACTTAGAGAAAGTTAATATGTATACATTTTGTAAAAGGGAATACAGTTCTGCCGCAACAAGATAAAGTTATTTCTTACCAAGTCGTTTTGGGTTTGGAATTTTTTTTTCTCTCCCTAATAAAGTTCATATTATAAGAAAAAAGTAAAATTTTCAAAACACCTTATATTTTTTTTCCCTACATGCACTCCAAAATGATATTATTTTAAATTATAGAAAATAATTTTATCTCTTATTATATAAGAAATATTTTTCCCTTTGTAAAAAGATATTATTCAAACTGTGCAGAATTTGTGCAGAAATTTATGTTCATCACTGATAACATAGTTGTAACATCTATAGATCATGTACATATAGTATGAATGCAGCTAAAAATCAGGTAACTTTAAAAAGTGCTTGAATCAGTATATCTCAAGGAATGTTTCATCCTTATCTTTCTTGAGGGATACCTCACTCTCTTACAAGAATGAGTGATTGAAGAAAGCAATTAGACTCTTAGTAATACATATAACACAATCGAAGAGCTATGAGCACTCAAGACAATGACAATATGAACTCAAAGAGTGTGAATAGTTTGAAGATTTTAATACACGGATTAATGTTTTCCAACTATTGTTGAGTGTTCAAGAAGCTACAATAACATGTCTAAGCTACAATATAATGTTCTCCAAACAAAGCAGTATTTTGTGCACATAAGATTAAGATTTGTACAATTTTAGTACTCAGATTTACTAACAAAACTCTGGAAGAAAGAACAATCCATATCATTATATTACTAGAGTCGATACGTTTGCATGTGTCGTGTGAAAACAAACAACACTTTGGCTTTGAAACAGGGAGATCCTACTCTTTTCCTAAAATTTTATGTACAAAAAAAAAAATAGTAATAATTCTACTACAACTTTCATGCATAAGCAAAACAACATATGTCACCGTGAAAATATTGAGATTTTAAGGGGATTTTTTTTTTTTTTTTTTTACATTTCCTTTAGTTATACAATTTTTTACATTAAGATCCAGCACAAAACATTATTTACATATTTCTGAATTGTTTATGTAAAATTTAAATGAATATTCATACAAAATTTGAAATGATATAAAAAATTACATTCAACAGAAACTATCGTTTGGCCACGAAATTTCATGCGAAAAACAAACTAAAAGGAGACTCACATATCAATAATTGAGGAATCTAAGATAATTATCAGAACCTGATATTCTCTATAATTCCTTTTTCCAGTTGTTGTCACTGAGAATTTCACCCGTGACTTCTTTTTGGAGTTTTTCTCTCCAAGAAAGTACGCAATGTTTCTCACAAACACTAACTAAATTGGATCCTCAAACTATTCAAACTTATTTAATCATATTCCTTAACATGAGTTTCAATAATTTAATGGTTGAATAATACATTTGATTTTAATTAATGATTCAATTATGAGTGAACAGAAACTAAATTACTATTTTACTACTGTTTTTTAATTCAATCTTTTATCAGTTTACAAACTTCTTCGTCAAAGTTTAGCGCAAATAATGATTCCTAAATGTGTGCAGAAACTGGCAAAGGCAGAGTTTTAGCAATTCCCTAACAATAATTCTATAACTCATCCTCCTATTAATAATTAAATGTTTATGTTTTAAAGATATTAAATGCCTTAATTTTTCATTTAATAGTTACTTTATCAAGTATTAGGAGAATTATCAGGAGGATACATCATAACTCATTACCTAAATGTAGCCCTAAGGAAGTTGTTTTAATATCCATATCTACCCTCAAAACATGTACAGATAGATTTTTAGCTTCACCGAAAGCCATAAAATAGTAATTAAGTTTTTTTCTGTTATCCATATTCTACAAAATGTTTTTTTTTTTTTTTTTTAAATAGAGGCTGTGGGGAGGGGGCACGGAGAAACATAACAATAAAATACCAAAAATAGCACATGGCATCAATTTTTATTCAATCTTCAAGAATGTACCGGTTCCTTCTTGCTCCAAATGCAAATCTCTGTATGGTAACAGAAAAGGAAGCATTGAGTTTCTGAACAAGATATAAATATGAGGCTATGTAATGGAAATTGAGTCCATGCTGTAAAGAAATATGAAATGAGGGAATGTGCATGGTTGCATTAATGTGATAATGCATGCAAATATGAGATGTTGATTACTGTGGATTGGGCTTTTTCTTAACTGAAAATATTTGAGAATAGGCTTTCAAACCAGTGAGGAATCGAATGTAAGTTGGCTTCATTGATCCGTTGGCAGGGACAGATCTAATGTTTGGAACTAAGTATTCTGCAACCTGCCAACCACCATAACGTTGGATAAGGAATAAAAGGCATACAAATTACGGGATGGATAGGTCATGTGATACAATCTTAACTGCTCAAAGACAAATCAACTGTTATTATTTTCTCATTCTCTATCCCAATGTACGTTCCATAACCGTTGATTTATCTTTAGGCCGTTGACATCGTCTCACATGAGAGGATCCCTCCCCAAAAAAAACAGAGAAAACAGGAAAGCAAAAGATTAAGTGAGCTACAAATGCCATCCACATCCTCGACACACAAAGTAGCAATCACATATATCCATGTACATGATCATATTGGAAAGATATGGCTAAACAATTACTCTTTCACCTATTTTTCTCTTAAATGTATGAATTTCTACAGAAATAAATGTTCCCGTGCTGAAGGTAATCATGGAGGATTTTATTTGGAATATTTTATAGATCTCTATCTTTATTTGCATGGAGTTATTCTCAATAAGCTAGAAAATTTATGAAACATGAATGAACAAATCACTTCTGATGGTCGTCAAGCGATCTGTTACAACTCATGTTATACCTCAAACACCTGGCAGTTAGTCAATTAGTAGTTGTGGACTATTCGTTCTGTTGAGAGGTTTAATTACAGCTATGAGTAGTTAGTAACACCCTTAGGATGAATTCACAGAATGTGTATAAAAGGGGCATAGTTCCCATTGTTAGGCACTTTTTGGTTGAATTAGGGACTTACTGAGTAGTTTCTCATTGTGAAGGGAATTCTCCCTTGTGAAGAGCATAGCTCTTGTGTTTCTTTTTTCTTAATCAATAAAGTTTCCCCTTTTCATCTTCAGTCTTTCCCCTGCTCCCCATTCAATTTCCATTTTTCAAATCTAGAGTTGTAACAGGATCGTAATGATTTGATGGCACACCATAGGGCACACTGTTAGCATATACATCAGCATTCGCTGCTATGGAAATCTTACCACTTCGGCTGGTTCAGCCAAGACATTAATGAAAAACTTTGCCTGCAAAGAACAAAGAAGTAAGTTAGTCCAAACCATAGCTATCAGTATCATACAATACATGATACTACAACAATACATATCGTAAGCTGTATCGGAAAGGAGTTTGTATCGTACGTATCATGTATCATATGATACAAAAATTAAATCAAAATTTGAAATTTGTAATATAAAAAAAATATTTAATTTATGATTTAAATTAAAAAAATCTAAAAAATTATTATTACTACGGAAAAGAAAATAAAGATTTGATTTGTAATTTAAACTCTAAAATCAATCTGAAAAATATGTATTAATAAAGGAAATAATTAAAAAAATATTTTAATATATATTTTTTAAAAAAAAATTATATTGTTTATGTATTTTATGATTCACGATACAAAAAACTGGCCAAATGATACACGATACCTATTGTGATTCAACAACTTTGGTCCAAAGCACTCAGGAAATTATAAGATAACTTAAGCTACTTATCTACCTGCTTTGTATTAGCACCAGACATGAGAAGATCCGTTGTAACCATTCCTGGCTGCAACACCAAAAAGGAAAGGGGAAAAAAATGAAAAACAAGCCATAACTGTCCACGTGGAATAAGAGCATCGACCATCAAAACTTTGCAGGAAGTCCATCATTATGTGTTTTCTTAAGTCAACTTTAAGGTGAAACAAGGAGTAAGAGAAGAAAATATTAGAGCACACTAAATAACAACATGGGAGTAAGGAAACCATGCTAGTGAGGTGGGTGTTCAAGAAATCAAGATTTTTTCGATGGTGTATATGTTTAAGCTTCCATGAAGCTCTAATACCATAATTCTCTTTCATCTGGTGAGCCCAAACTTTTCTTCAAGCCTTTCTCCTTTTAAGAAATATATCTATGAAGCTCATGGCACCAAAGATATTTTCATCTTTTTGATTTTTTCCCCTTTTCTTCTGAAGTCTCATCCATTGAGCATAATGGCACTAAGCCACTCAACAGAATATCTTTTCAGAGAATTTAATTGTAGAATATTCTAGATAGTATTTATTGATGTAGTTAGTAGTTGTATATTTATTGATGTAGTTGGTGGTTGTATATTTATTAAAGTAGTTGAGGTAGTTGGATGTACTCAATATAAAAAGGACCCATTGGGTCTCTCAATGAATCAAGAAAGTATTATTCAGATAAAACACTTCTTCCACTTCTTCTTTTCTTCATGGTATCAGAGCTGGTTATATTCCAGTCTCTTCCTCGTTCTGATTTAATTTTAAGTCATTTTCCTATTCCTTTTTTTTCGTTTTAGCCACTGCCCAAGCCAGAATCCTTACCTAGACACCTCCAACCACGAAACCAAGGCCACCATTAGGTTCAGAACAAGATTCTGAGCCAGCCCATAGAAGACCTGTAGCAGTACTGTTCATTACTGTAGCAATTACTGTTTCACTGTAGCCAAGATTGCTCTCATTGTATTTGGAGGAACTTTTTTCTGGGTACCTGTTGTTAGAAAACCATGGACGTTGAAAATTTTGAAAATTCGTCTTTTCAGAAATTGATGTCTCAACCTGCTGAGGCAACTAGTCATGTTGCTCAAAAAGGTATGGCATTCCATGTTGAACGTAGTAATCGTTGGATCCTTGATTCAGGGGCCTCTGATCACATGACAGGTAATGCAACCTTATTTTTCTCCTATACCCCTTACTATCACCGGTCACGAATAAGAACAGCTGATGGGAATTTCTCCACTATTGCGGGAAAGGGATCCATTAAACTTTCTGAGCATATTATTTTGAACTCAGTACTTCATGTTCCCTCTCTTACTTGTAATCTCATCTCTATTAGCAAACTTACTGCTGAGTTGCATTGTATTGCTAAGTTCTCTGCAAATGCTTGTATCTTTCAAGAACAGGACTCGGGGATGATGATTGGCAATGCTAGAGAGGAAGAAGGTCTATACTATTTTACAGATGTTCATTGTGAAAAGAGGATTTTTTCGAACCACTCTCTATGTTTATCAGATGACTGTAATGATGTTTTGTTATGGCATCGTAGGTTGGGACACCCAAATTTTGTTTATCTCCAGAAGTTATTGCCGAACTTATTTATCAATAAAAATCCAAGTTCCCTTCTTTGTGATATTTGTCAGCTTGCAAAGCACTCTCGTGTCACTTATTCTCCTAAGAAATATCATGAATCTTCTCCCTTTACATTGATTCATAGTGATATTTGGGGACCTGCTCGTGAAAAAAATGTCTCGGGTGCTCGTTGGTTTATTACTTTCATTGATGATCATTCTAGGGTATGTTGGGTATATCTCTTAAAAGATAAGTCTGAGGCAGCATCCACTTTTAAAAACTTTCATGCTATGATTCAAACTCAATTTCAGACTTCTATCAAAATTCTGCGAACAGACAATGGTACTGAATATTTTAATTCAGTTCTTGGAGATTACCTAAACCAGCATGGAATTATTCATCAAAGTTTTTGTCCTAACACCCCTCAACAAAATGGGGTGGCTGAAAGGAAAAATAGACATCTAATTGAAGTTGCTCGAGCTCTTTTATTCACGATGCATGTCCCTAAATATCTGTGGGGGGAAGCCGTCTTGACAGCTTGTTATCTCATTAATCGGATGCCTTCTCGGGTACTAAATTTTCATTCTCCTTTATCCTGTCTTACTAAATCTTTTCCCTCTTTCAGTGCTCTTTCTTCTCTTCCTCCCAAAATATTTGGCTGTGTGGTTTTTGTGCATATTCCTCCACATCAAAGGTCCAAACTTGACCCTAAATCCATCAGATGTGTCTTCATAGGATATTCCCCTAATCAAAAAGGTTATAAGTGTTACTCACCTTCTCTCCGTAAGGTTTTTGTTTCCATGGATGTTACCTTTTATGAGACACAATCCTTTTTTTCCCCGACTTCTCTTCAGGGGGAGTCTATAGGTATTGGTATGGATGAAGATAAGCCTGGGAAACCAAATGATGTTGCTGTCTTACCTTGGCCTTTGGAAACAAGTGGAGTTATTGGGAAGGAAACATGGGGAGCAACTATACTTGAATCTAATGATCCTCCTTGTGATCCTCCTGGTAAATGGGAAAATTTTTACAGCAGGCGCAAAACACATGAAGATACTCTAGACTGCCAGGATCCTGACTCGAGTCCTTGTTCCAGCAACCCACTTGAATGTACTAGTACAACCAACGTTGATATGCCTATTGCTCTTCGGAAAGGTACTAGATCTTGCACTGCTCATCCTATTTCCCATTATATTTCATATGAAAAGTTGTCTCCAGGTTTTCGTGCTTTCAACACTATGTTAGATAGTACCAGGATACCCAAAAATATCCAAGAAGCACTTGATGACCCAAAATGGAGGAATGCAGTATTAGAAGAAATGGATGCACTTACAAAAAATGGAACATGGGAGTTTGTGACATTACCTAAAGGAAAGAAAACTGTTGGTTGCAAGTGGGTGTTCACAATAAAATTCAATGCAGACAATAGCATCAATAGGTATAAGGCCAGATTAGTTGCTAAGGGATATACTCAGACTCATGGGATAGATTATCAGGAGACATTTGCTCCTGTTGCCAAACTTAACACTATCCGCGTTCTGCTATCTCTTGCCGCCAACCTTGATTGGCCATTGCAACAGTTAGATGTTAAGAATGCCTTCTTGAATGGTGATCTCCATGAGGAAGTTTACATGGATCCGCCTCCTGGTTTTGAAAAAGGGGATGGTTCTGTGTGCAAGTTGCAGAAGTCTCTCTATGGACTTAAACAATCTCCCAGAGAATGGTTTGGGAAATTTACTCAAGCTGTTAAGGGAAGAGGGTTCACCCAAGCTTAGACTGATCACACTTTATTTTTTAAACACTCCAACAAAGGAAGAATTGCTATTCTGATCGTTTATGTTGATGACATAATTGTCACTGGTAATGATAGCGAGAAGATAACCTCTTTAAAAAAATGTTTAGCTGACCAACTTGAACTAAAAGATCTTGGATCTCTCAAATATTTCCTTGGCATGGAAATTGCTCGGAGTAAGGAAGGAATTTCTTTAACTCAGAAAAAATACATTCTAGACCTGTTGCAAGAAACAGGTATGCTTGGGTGCAAGCCGGCAGAGACTCTAATTGAAGCTAATATCAAGATGGGAATTGAGGACGGGGAAGATGTTGATAGGGAGCAGTACCAGAGACTAGTGGGAAAATTAATCTATTTGTCTTACACTCGTCCTGATATTGCTTTTGCTGTGAGCATGGTTAGCCAATTCATGCATTCTCCTAAGGAAAAACACCTTAGTGCTGTTTATAGAATTCTCAAATACCTCAAAAATACCCTTGGTCGAGGAATTTTCTTTAAAAAGGGGCACAAAAGGATGATTGAAATCTATACAGATGCAGACTGGGCTGGCTCTGCAATGGACTGAAGATCTACTTCAGGATATTGTACTTATGTCTGGGGAAACCTTGTGACCTGGAGAAGTAAGAAACAAACTGTTGTTGCAAGAAGCAGTGCAGAAGCGGAATTTCAGGCTCTAGCCCATGGTATTTGTGAAGGAATTTGGTTACAAAGGCTTCTGGAGGAGCTGAAGATCTCTTATTCCCTACCTATCAGATTATACTGTGATAATAAGGCTGCTGTCAGCATTGCTCAAAATCTTGTTCATCATGACAGAACAAAACATGTGGAAGTTGATCGTCACTTTATCAAAGAGAAATTAGAAGACGTTAGTGTATGCTTGATATATATACCTACCAAGGAACAGACGACGGATATCCTCACCAAAGGATTACTTAAGCCGACCTTTGAGAATTTGATCAGCAAGTTGGGAATGATCAATATATATCTCCCAACTTGATGGGGAGTGTAGAATATGTAGAATATTCTAGATAGTATTTATTGATGTAGTTGGTAGTTGTATATTTAATTGGTAGTTATATATTTATTGATGTAGTTGGTGGTTGTATATTTACTAAAGTAGTTGAGGTAGTTGGATGTTGTTGTAAATAGTAATTATGTAGTCATTTATTAGTAATTATGTAGTCATTTATTTGTATTTATTTAGTCTGTTACTTGTATATTGGGCCAAGCCCATTAGGTCAAAATTAGGTCAAGAAGTCTCTATAAATAGAGACCCCTATGTACAGATTCAAATACAAATCAATAATATTTCATAACCCTTTTTCAAGTTGGTATCAGAGCTCTCGATCCTGAGGGCTCTGCTTCCGCGCCTATTGTCTTTTTTTTTTACAAAACCCTAATTTCTTTGCCTCTTGCCGCCATCAGCCGCCACCGGAAAAAATTTTCCGGGGACCTTTTGGACCAAGGGGACCACTGTTGACCTTCTTTTTTTCGTTCTATCATTCTACGCAACGTTCTTCCGCCACAAACGACCCAAACACCTCCGACCGCCTTCAACCAGTTCTGTCTTCACCGTTTAGAACCCTTTCCGGTGACTTTTCAACCGCAACCACCCACAGACAGGTGCGCGTTCACCGGACCACCACACCGGAAAAATTTCAGCCGAAGAAGCCTTGCCACGCGCTCTCA